ATTGTGAACTCTGAGGTTTATTTTTTTATTTCTTCTATGTGAAGTATTTAAGTAAGTTCTGTAGTGCTGGTTTAGTTGTCATGAATTATTTTATTTTCTGGTTATCTTGGAGGGCTCTTATTTCATCTTTATTTCTGAAGGATAACTTTGCTGGATGTAGCAGTCTTGGCTGACAGTTGTTTTCTTTTAGGACTTGGAACACATTGTTCCAAGCCCTCCTGGCTTGCAGTTTGTGCTGAGATATCAGAAGTGATTCTGGTTGGCTTGCCTCTAATTGAGAACTGATGTTTTTCTCTTGAGGCTTTTAAAATTCCATCCTTGTTCATCCTATTAGGTATTTTAATTACCATTTGTCATGGAGAGGTTCTTTTTTGTCTTGTGTATTTGGGAATCTGAATGCCTCCTGTATCTGGATGTCCATCTCATTCTGAAGGCTTAGATACTTTTCTGTATCATTTCCCTGAAGAGTTTATCCATTTCATTAACCCACATCTCACAGCCCTCCTCAGTTCTTAAATTTGGTCTCTTTATGTTATCCCAAAGTTCTTGTATGTTCTGGTCAGGGCTATTTATTTATTTATTATTTATATGGTCTGAATGTTCAAAGCTGGGCACTTCGTCTTCCAGCTCTGAGATTCTGTCTTCAGCATGGGCTCCTCTGTTAGAGAGACTTTCCACTGAACATTTTCTTTAATTTATTGTGTCTTTCATTTCCATGGTTTCTGTTTGGTTCTTTTTCAACATTTCTATCTCTTTATTGAATTTGTCATTCATATTCTGTACTGACTTTCTTAATTCATTCAGTTGTTTTTCTGTGTTCTCTTGGAATTCATTGATAACTTTGATAATGAATTTTTTTAAAAAATTCTTATTTGATATTTCATCCACTTTAATATTTTTGGGGTCATTGTCTGGTGAATTATGAAATTTAGGAGGTGTTAGCTTATATTTTCATATTTGTTGTATTCCTGTGTGGGGTTTATATTTATGTTTGGAGTTATTTCTCTTCCACTCTTATGTGTGGGCCTTTTTAGGGCACAGTCTTCACCTGCCACAGTGTCCTAGAGGATCTAGATTGAGACCCCCTTGGAGGTGCAGTATCCACAGCCTTTATTTTTATCTGTTTTTTCTATAACAATGGGTGTTCATATGTGTGACTCTGGGCTTGACCCCTAGCCATTTCTACTTGGACCTGGATGTTAGTTTGGGTTTTTATCTCTTCTGTTCTTTGTGTTAAAGTATAGCTGAACATTAAGTGTCATCGATATGTGTGTGGAGCAAGGTATACTGTCTTTTGTTTGAGTTTAGTTCATCAGTAGAGTCTTCACCCTGTGAACTTGTAGTGTCCCCATAGTTTCCCAACATTTCACAGTTTAGAGGTGAAAAACAATAGCAATAACTAATGCCAACAATATACAGCATTAAAATAAATACCCAGTTCCTACTAAGACATCTACTGTATTAATTGCTATGAAAACCCAGAAATGGTGGCATCAGCAGTTGCCAACAGCAAAAACAATAAGTAACCATGAATTATATCTGTCTTTAAACTAAACAATAGGTGTCAACTATGTCAGCCATAGCAGTATAATTGCAACAGCATTAATGCTGGTGGCAGGGATATGTAAACCAATTAGTGCTAAACAATGGTAAGAATACAGTTAATTAAGAGAAAAGAAAATGTGATAAGAAAGTAGAGAAGATTTTACAATTCAAAAAAGTGAACAAAGAGAATGCAGAAGAGATGTAGCAGGTGATGGAGGAAAGCAAGGAGGAGAAAAAATAGAGGTAACGAAGTAGAGTGAGAGACAATAGAATTTGGCTGTTAGCAGAAGATGCAAGGAGAAACAAGAAACAAACAAACGAAAACAATAAAAAACCAAACCAAAACATGCTAAGCAAAAACCCTAACCATCAAAGTGCAAGGCAAAGAAAAATAACTAAAATAAAAATATGCTAAAAATGAGAAACAAGACTCAAATATGTATATGAATATATGTCCATATACCAATCAGCACAGAAGAAACAACACACAAACACAAAACAAAATAAAACAAAATGACAAAATGAGAGAGAGAGAGAGAGAGAGAGAGAGAGAGAGAGAGAGAGAGAGAGAGAGAGAGAGAGAAAAGATTCTTAATGGAAAATGAAGGTATTGTCTTACTGGTCAAAATAGTCAACGAGAATAGATGGTCCCTGTCTATGCCTGACTGTTTTTCTTTCTCTTTCTTCTTGAGCTACGTACTGAGAGTGGAGTAAGAGCTCCCCTTCCTCTTTTTGTGTTGCTCAGGATGCTGCCAGTTAGAGTAGCCTAAGACTAAACCCGATTCAAATAATTCTCAGCTTCCCTTCTCTCCAGTATAAGGTAGGATGGAATGGCACTATCAGTTGGAGTTTTGTCTGCACAGACCAGATTGGTATGTTCCCAGGAGGGCCACTGAAGAGCTCTAAGTGGAGTTCTGGCAGGAGAGATTAGACGAACACAATTCCAGGGCCTGGCAGTTGTCAATCTCTTCTGGGAATCTGGATCTCAGGAGCCTCCCAAGGATTCTACTCATGGGGCAAGGGAGCCAATCCTTTACCCCTTTGCTTCTCACAAATACACCCTTCCCAGGCTTCCCAGGCCTAGTCCCTGAGTACATTCACACCTGCCTGTTCAAATTCCCAACCCACATCAGCTGGTCACGTGAGCCACCAGACTCAAAGGGGAAGGGAGTTGGGCTCCCTTTCACTTTTCTGACTTGAGTACCCTTGGTAAAATATTTTCTGTTCCTGTTTTGTTCCCATTCTGCTAGGTACACTCTAGGCCACATGGTAAGTGCTTGCCAGGGCAGTGAGGCAGTGTTTGCTCTGATCTCCTGTCTCCTGCAAGGTTTCTGCAAACATGGCTGCCTCAAGATGGCACCACCTTAGCTCTCTGTGGCCAGTTGGTAAACAGAGAGCTCTTTTCAAGCACCAGTGCACAGTGCAGCCTCTGAATTAGCTAAGGTCAGTCTGCTTTTCTGATCTCAGGTTTTTCCATACTGAATTTTTCCATTGTGTTTCTCAGAATTCTCCCTCCCTCTCCACTGATCCGGTTTTCTATTGGTGCTACTGCTGCTGCAACTGATTTGGCTTCAATGTACTCTTCTTCTTTGTTTAATATCCAAATTTCTGAGTCTGTAAGTCACTCTATCAAATATTGAGGTTTAGTGAAATCCCCTTTCTTCCACTCTCAGAGAAGCAGTATTTCTGCTGCTTAAATCCTGAGCCACAGAACAACTAGGAATGCAGCCTTCCTCTAGCCTGCCATCTTGAATCTCTAGCTGTTGTTATGATTGTCATCACTCACTGATTTAAAATACATTCTCTGGTATAGATACTTATTCATGGGCCATGGTCACAAACATGCCCAGGAGGGTAGCAGGAAGTTATAGATGGGGAGCTTGTATGGGAGTGAGGGATGATGGCCCTCTAGTTGGGAGATAGCTGAAGTGTTCCATTTGAATGGAGCATCAGTGTTCCAAGGAGGGTTTTGGGACAGAGGGGAGCCATCTGGAATAACTAGCTCAAGAATTGATACTCAATTTTATACTAGGGAGTCACTGAAGGTTTAGGTACAGGAGAGAACAGGGCTAGGACCTGACTCTCACAGCTAAACACTCAAAGTCACTCCAGGTGAACTGGGCTGCATGAAATAACACACAGAGACAGAGAAATACCTTCTTCTTTGGGCCTTGTGACAGCTCCTCTGACCTTAGGGGTCCATGGAAAGAGAGAGCAAGGAGCAAATGCTGAACCCTTTTACTGGGAAGAAACCATTCAAATGAGGCAAGGGGTCAGGTTTCAGGGGGTTGAGTCTATAGCTTCGTGATGTCTGTTGTCAGCAGATTGTCTGACATTTAGGAAGGCCACACCCGTGTCATGAGCTGTGTGGAGATCATGGCAGAGCAAGCAAAAAGACCAGAGCGAGGCCTGTCCAAACAGGGGCAATGTTGGTTCAGTCCACTTGGTGCGCTCAATGCTCATAGTTCACACACACACAGCCCGTGACTGGCTTGCCACATCTCCATATTCTCATCCATCAAGGCTAAGGCTATGTGGCAGCTCCCCACAGAAGAGCACGCTTGTGTGCAGGGTGGCTTTGCAGTGAGACAAGGAACCCAGTCAGGTGGCTGGAGCCCTTGGCCAGCACAGGGACTCCACTGTACCACCCAGAATGTGCCACTTGCCCTCCCCTTTGGGGATGCCCAGCAGATAAGCCCAAGGGCATGTGCCAATTTGCAGTCATGAGAGCCATAGATACTCTCTCTATGAAACATATCCCATAGAGTCCTATTTTGCAGCTAAGGGCCTGAGCTAGACATACTTAGTGACTTCCCTAAGTTCATGCATCTCAGTCACAGAACTCTAGTCACAATGATCCTGACTTGTGCAGAGCATTGTCACATGCTAGGCATCCTGCGGGGACTTCACATGTGTATTCTCACTACATCTTCACAGGTTCCCAGTGAGGTGTTGCTGTTCCTCTGGCCATTTTACAAATAGGAAAACTGAGGCTCAGTTAGCTGAGTGACAGCTATCCATGGCTGGGTAGTCAGTGGGTGTGTCTGACTCCCCAGTCCATGGAGGGGGTCCCCTAGGTGGTCCAGGAAGCTCCAAGCTCACCCCTGAACTTCTCCCTGGCGGTTGGATGGGGAAGGGCCCCTGGGGTGGTTTGAGCATCTCAGCCCTTTGAGTTCTGACTTAAGGCTTCCCATCTCTGGATGGAGAATAGACTGTTTTCTTGATCAATTGAGGCTCAGAGAGGTTGACAGATCTCCCAGGGCCACATAACAGGTCAGCAGCAGAGTTGAGCTACGACCTTAGAAATCCTGTTGCTCAGGCCAGCAGTTCTTTTTGTACTCTGAGCTGCTTCTGGGTTTTCCCAGCCTCAGACTCCAAGGAGATGGGATCCAGTCTGGGACAGCAAGAGCGTTCCCCAAAATTCCAGCATCTGAATTTTCTCTCCTCTGCCCCAGGCTGCAGCTCTCACTGGGAGATATCAGATATTGGCACCCACAGACGACCTGGGCAGAGGCCTGGAGGGCAGTCTGACCAGTGTGTGGGCCACAAGGAGGCCAGCGTCCATGCTTCTTGCTGCCGTGCCCCAGGCCTGGAGTGCAAAGTCAAGGATCATGGAGTCCCGGGCCCTGCAGAGCAGGTGAGGAGATATGGGCGTGGGGTGGGTGCTTGGGGTCCCTCGGGGTGGATGTATCTGTCCTGTGAAGTTTTTGTGGGGGGCTGTTTCTGCTCTTGTCCAGATTAGTAAGGCTTGCTGCCTGGGCCCCTGCTCCCCTTTGAGGAGGATATGCATAAATATGATATGAAGAGAGGCGGTGTGTGCACATGATGGATGGATCAACTTAGCAAACGGGGAGGTTGCTGTAGGACAAGAGCCCCACTGGACTCTGAGGACACAGAGGTGACTCAGCCTAGGATTCAGAGGAGGGGACACCTGAAGGTTGAGGAGTGAGAAGAGCCCTGCCAAGAGGTCAAGGGGTGGGATGAGGCCAGAGCTGAGAGCTAGGCTTGGTGAGCCAAGGCAGGGTGGCCCCAGGGCTCTGGGCAGCTCCTTCAGCAGGGCCCCAGGGGCCAGGCAGCCCAAGCCAACTCCTAGGGGAGCTTAGCCACATTGTAAGATGCAGTGTGAAGAGACTGCAGTCTGATGGTGCATCCTTGAGGGCAGGGATGGGGTCAGATCCATCCTCTGTGTGTGCACAGGTAAGGTGCTAGCTCCAGGTGCTACTCCAGGCATTGGGGAGACAGACAAACAGACAGCCAGCCAGCCAGACAGACAAACACTCCTGCTTCCCCACCTGGAGTGTATGTTCTAGTCCAGGTAGGTTAGTCAGCTAAGGTACCGTCCACGTGGTGGACAAAAGTGAAGCAGGCCAGGGAATGGGTGGGAAGGCATCAGAGCCCTCACTGAGCTGGTGGAGATGACAAGCCACGAGGATACCAGGCAGAGGAGCAGCAGAATAAAGGGGGAGCAGGCCCAGGGGCCACCAGGAACATCTGAAGGCCCATGAGGCAGCAGCGGAGTTAGCATGGAGGGGAGAGGCTCAGAGACAACAGAGCAAGGTCATTTCGGGCTTCAAGGCCACAGTCAGGCCTCAGTTTTTGCTGAGTAGCCTGAGAACCATGCAGTGCTGTGTCTAGGGTCAGGGGTGATCTGACCTGGGTTTGGACAGGTTCACTCTGGTCCCCAAGCTGAGAAGAAACTTCAGGGGACATTAGCAAAAGCAGGGAGAATAAAGGGTGGCTCTTGCCATGGTCCAGGCCTAGGAGGTGGGGCTCAGGCTGGTGGGAAATGTGGTGGGACACGAGGCCTGCAGGAGGCGCTCGTGGGTGTGGTGGATGATGTAGGGGGAGGAGTGAGGATGGTTGAGGTTTTGTTGAGCTACTGGACAGATGGAGTTGCTGTGAAATGGGGTGGAAAAGGCACTCAGGGGGCAGGTGGAGAGTGGACACTGTGGAGGTTCCCCTGTGCCCTGAAGATCAGGTGTGGAGCAGAAGCGGGTGTTGGGATGCAGACCCACCATGAGGAGGTGCAGCATGGCGCTCCAGCTGGCCCAGAGCCAGCGGTGTCTGTCTCGGGGCTGTTGGGAAGAAGTGAAGTGGGGGCGTGGCCTGCGTTGCTGAATTTGCGCTTTCTTCTCCCTGGGCTATGTCAGGTCACTGTGGCCTGTGAAGAGGGCTGGACCCTGACTGGCTGCAATGCCCTCCCCGGGGCCTCCCCCATCCTGGGAGCCTATGCCGTGGACAACACGTGTGTGGTGAGGAGCTTCGACATGGACACTGCAGGCAGGACCAGTGAGGAGGCCACAATAGCTACTGCCATCTGCTGTCGGAGCCAGCCCCCAGGCCAGGCCTCCCGGGAGCTACAGTGAAAGCCCAGGCCAGCATGGATGCCTGGGTGGGGGCCAGGGACTGGGTGCTAAGTGGATGAAACAGCTCTACCAGCCTGGCCCTGCTGGCACTGGCCAGGGGTGGGGTGCTCCTTGCCTGGGAGAACTCAGCATCTCTCCCTGGACCCTCCTCCCCATGGAGATGCAGGGAAGTCCCTCCTTCACTGGGGGAGCAGAGATGCCTTTAATAATACATCGTTAAAGCGGGTTAAGTTGTGCTCGGCTCTGCCAGCTGCTCCCAAGGTATCACCCCCCCCCCCATGGCAGTTACCTTCTAGAGCTTTCTTGCTGGTGCCAGGCCCTCAGTCCTCCCTTGGGGGCTGGATGGGGCCAAGTATCAGCCTGGGGCAGTGAGGGTGAGGGTGTTGGGGGTCCTTTACTGCCTGCTCTCTCTAGAGAAGCCCCTGGGGTCCCTGATGAATAAGGGTCGTAACCCACATGTTCTCGGGGTGGGAGTGGAGTGAGGTTCAGGCAGAGGGTGGAGACAGAGGCTCCTGGTTAACCTAGGCCATGCCTCAGCTTCTCCAGCCGCCCTTACTGTGCTCCGTCTCAGACTTTGTAACTGCCCAGGATCACCTGCCTTGAGCCACCACCCTAGGACCAGCTTTTCAATTTGCAGTAGAGGGCCACATGGTACATGCCCCATCATCAGACCCCCTCTACTGCCCTGCACTGGCACTCCTACTTTATGAAGGAAGAAACTGGAAACCAAGGTGGGAGTGCCTGCCAGCCTCACACAGCCAGGAAGTGAAGTGGTGCCAGGATATGAACCCAGAGCCATCTGGCTAGAAGCCAAGCCTGTTTTTGGTGTACCAGGCTGGGCTCCTCAATTTTATAGATAACAGTGAGGCTACAAAGGTGAAGGTGTCTGCACCCTGCTTGCTGTGGACAAGGGCCTCCACTGTGGCCTGGTGTGGAGGTCAGTCAAGTAGCCCAGTGACTGTCCCTCCCTGAGCACTGCCCCACCCCACCCACCCAAATAAGCTTGTCTAGCTTTGGGGGCTCTTCTCTGTTGCCTTTATATAGCAAGGAACTTTTCCAGATCTGTTTTGCTTTTGTAATTCGATATTTATTCTGGGTTTTGTAGCATTTTTACTATGTGGTGACTTTTTAAAATAAAAGCAACATTGTCAGGACTCTGGCCTAGGATGGTTTTGCTTATACTGGGCACTGGTTAGTTTGTTGCATGGAGTGATGAATGGTATTGGATGAGTACTGCAGAGTGAACTTATTCCTTGTGCCTCTCCTAGGAATGCATGAATATCTTCCAGAAACTTCCCTGGACCCAACTAGTCAGGGTGCCCTGCCCCTTACAACATTCTAGATGTCCTGCTGCCCATGTCCACTGAGCCCTGGACTCCCCTGCCTTTTCCATCTTCTCCTAGCAGCAGCCTAGCAGTTTATGGAAGCTCTTGTCTTAAGTGTGAAGCTAGTGCTTGTCCATGATGGTTGTTCCTGACTTGTCAGATCTCTTTCCAGTTTGCAAAATGTAATTATCCCATTCAGTGTAGGATCTCCCAGCCCCCTAAGGTTGATGTGTCACCATCTTAGGTAAGATATGGCTCTACAAAGCCCATGTCATAAATGAAGAATCTACCACAAAGGCAAAAATCCTCCCCAGTTGTTTCCGGACAATTCAGTGTTGTATGTAGAAACAGATGCTAATGGCTTGAAGGCCAGAACTGTGTACCTGGGCTCACAGGCACCTATGCTGCTGTGAGGTCTTAAGACACCCACTCTCTGCCTAGGATGGCATGGGATCGTGAGTTAGATACCCACACCCTAACACTTTATGGCTTGACAGGGGGAAACAAGTCCATCTTGCAGATGGTTGACAGTTGGTCACCAGGAACAGGGAAGATCTACAATAGTGCATGGGAGGAGACCCAGGTGAGCAACACAGGATGCGAGAAATGAGGAAAGATGGTGAAAGGCTCAGAAGACCCACAGCACCAGTCAGCACCAGGATGGGCCCACGTGCGCCCCCACTGGCTGTGTCTGATATTTGGTGAAAAAATGTTGGTGAAACTCCAGCTCCACATTTTTGAAAAATTTTATTTTATAATCTTAGAAGCTAAGAACTCTGCCACGCATGAACCAAATTTAGAATTAAGATTCAACCCTAGTTTATCTACTTCCTTTTGAAAGTTTATAAACAAGATTTTATACACAAGAGGTAGCAGCGGAAAATTCCAGTCTGCTTGTTCCAAGCTCAAAAGGTACTGCACACACCTTGATGTTAGCAGGGAGGGTAGGGCAAGCTGGGGGAGACTGATGGCGCTCTAGAGGTCAGTAACCATGTGAGTCTGCCGGGGAAAGTCCCGGGTGAGCTGCCCTCGGGGATGCTCACCTCTTGGTCCCAGGATGCCTTCAAGGGCAGGACTTCAAGGGCTGTCCCAAGGTCAGCCTGGGCCAAAGGAAGTTCTTGAGAACACACAGCATTGAGTCAATTGTGCAATTCCTGCTTGATTTGCAGACCATTGTGAAAGATTATAAAAACATCTTCATCCAAAAAATTGGCAGTAAAAATGACAACTCTTCCAAGGCAAGCCTGTCACAATTGTCACTTTGTGGTACTACATTAAAAAAGTCCCCAGCAAGTTCGTTGACTGCAGCCGTTGGAAATCAAGTGGTTACTGGCAAAGTGGAATCGATGCTCATTGCAGCAGCAACATAACAAAATGAACCAAAGCTAGAGTGACAACGATCTTGATGCAGTTTCACGAGGACAGAGGTGCGGGGGAGGGCAGAAGGCGTCGTTTCCATAGGAAATAAGGGGACTAGAAGTGGAAACTTCACTCCTGAATTTGGGCTCCTGAGAGTGCAGCTGCCAGCGATGATATCCCAACGTGCATCATCACCAGCATTTTAATGCATGTCCTACACAATCTTTCTTCAAGGGGCACGGAGAGGAGGTTGTTGGAGGTGGGGTGCAGAGGAAAACAGTAGGACATGTGGTATTCACGTATTCAAAATCAATTTTTGAAAATCACATTCAAAATCATAAAAACACAAGAACCATACCAAATTTGCCATTTTGTGCCTGTTTCTCTGAGGCATGGTTCTGCTCTTAAATGCTGGCCCTTTCATCTTTTTGTGTATTTGACAAAAGCCATCACTAGACTGCAGTAGTTATAGAATTACAAACTGAAGCCTGACCTACAGGAACTTCTACAGTTGAACAATGAAACAAAGGGTTACTGAAACTGCACAGCAATGAAAGCTGTCTGCCCTGTCACATGTCCCCACAAATGCAAAAGCAACCAAAAAGGCACTTTGGGGCTGACGGCGCCTCTTTGACTTGGCAAATCTGACAGTGGCAACCTGGCACTTCCTAAGGTTCCCCTAGTTCTGTGCATGGTGAGTTGAAAATAAGGCAGAACATGTAACTAAAGGCAAAACAGGGCTGGAAATGTGTGAGCAATTCAAAACACAAAATGTTCCAAATTTACGAAATGTTGGTTGGTGTAACCCTCTCGATCTGCCACCCCAAAAGGAAGCCAGTATTTAACCTGAAATGAGTAAGTGATGCTATGCCTGGGAAGTACAACTACTGGATGGGTGTTCAATTGCTTTCTGGTTATTTCAGGGAAAGAAACCTTAACCTTGCCTTTTCAGTATTCATTAGTCATCTGGAGGAGAAAGAAAGTCTCAAGTTCTTTTTCTGTGTTAAAATTATGATGAAGCTCACAAAGCAGTGTTTCCCAACTAGGGTACTTAACTTCCCATACACCATTGCCACAGGCTTCAGTAATTATGTTTTTAAGAAAAAACAAATGATTGTGGGATCACATAATTTAAGACTACAGTTTATTCAATATGTCTCCAAGCAATAAAAAGAATTTTATGAAGTCAAACTCAATAAATTTTATCTTAAAGTGCTTTTTATTTTGCTATTTTTAAAATTTGTTTTAGGGACAACTTGTGTAATTTCTTTAGTGACAGATGTCAAAGAATGCACCTTGTACTTATGGAGAATGTAGTTTTTTTTATTGCTCTTTTAAATCTAAATCATATCAGAAAATACCTTAAAGAGCTTAATAATTTCCCAATTTTTGATCCTGGTAACATTTCAACAAGGTCCAAGCAGGTTTCTCAACCAGACCCACTGGAAATTCTATACAAAGAAGGAGACATATTAAATATAAAGGTCTGTGTAAACTGAATTCTTCAACTACTATTTTACAATGAAAAGGAATTCTACCACATCACTTTACATCATTTTAAATTGGATTTCCTACTCGATGTTACTGGATTAAAAATTTGCCCCTGCATACCTAAAGGCAGCTTGCTATTTTCTTAAAATATAAAAACCAGAAGAATTTCTTTTGTTGCATCATAGAGAAAGCAACAACTTTACCCTCACTCTTGTACGTTCATGTAACAAAAGTCTGCCACCAGCTTTATTTCCTAAAATCTCCAAGGGAAAAAAAAAGTCAATCTGCATGTGGTCCTGTGGCTGCTGGGCAGCTGGTCCACAGCTGGAGCTCTGCCACCACCGCAGCCTCCTGCCTTCTCACGCCCAAAGAGCGCTTCCTCTAAGAACACAGTCCTCCAGCTCTCCCAGGACAGTCTCCAGGCTCTTCTAAGGATTTCAAGGATGAGATTCCGGTTTCCAAAAGGCGCTGAGCACCCAGTCTTCTCAGGTGCCGGGCATTCTCTTGGGCATTCTCTTCTAAGGATCGACATCGTCAAGGTCACTTCTTAACTCGCCAATCATCATGGGAGATTCTGAACCCTGTGAAAAAGAACAGGCAGTTACAGTTCAGATAGTTAAGTTAGGAAAAAAAGTCTTCTGAACTCACTCCCCTCTGTGTTCTGTAATTTAACCAGGTAATCATGTAGCAACTTATTTCTGTTTGTTAAAGGGTAATAAAACACAACGGTAACTATTATGCCTTCTATTTGACAATTCATAATTAACACAGAACACTTTCTTAGTCACTGAAGCAACCAGTGACTTGTCTAATGGCACAATCCTCCTTCGCAATCACACAGGCAGGCTCTCATTAGAACTGACTGAGCAATGGGACAAAGCAGAGAGAGGAACTTGCTGTCACTGACAACCACTTTGAGCTGGGTACTCCACCTGACAGGTGGGTTCTGGTTCATTCCTGGGCCTGTATTTTTCACGTCACTAATTTGTGGTCTTTGGTTTACA